TTTAGGGGTTAGGAGGTTCAGGAGGTTGAATGGGGTTTAGCGGGCTGGGGGGGGTTTAGTGCCAAATATCCAAGCTCAATCAGCCCAATAGCTTCAGCAAAGATCTGCTCCAAGAAGGACAGGGCTTTGTCAATCCTCTCCTGCTCCTTGGCTCGGGTATGGTAGTGTAACTCGTGTACAGCATGCAAAGCACAGACTAGAATGCTCTACTGTACTATACTGTGGTTTTCCATCTACTTCTACTACCTCCTACCATCACCTACTGCGACCTACGACTACTTACCGCTCCTTACTAGCGCTTCTACGATTTAAGGCTGTGAACACTACCGTAACTCCTCCTCCTCCTCCTCGTCCTCCTCCTACCGCTACCACCACCCCTCAACCCTAAACCCTAGACCCTACCCCACCACTCCAGTCCTCCTCCTCCTCCTCGTCCTACTCCTCCTGCTCCTCCTCCTCCGCCTCCTACTCCTCCTGCTCCACCTCCTCCTACTCCTCGTACTCCTCCTCCTCCTACTCCTCCTCAAACTCCTCCTACTAGTAAAACACTAAACTTTAAACCCTAAACTTCAACCCTTCAACCCTCAACCCTGAACCCTGAACCCTGAACCCCGAACCCTGAACCCTAAACCCTGAACCCTAAACCCTAAACGGCTAAGCATCGATTCTTCGATCTTTTCCTTGATCCAGCCCGAACCCTGAACCTACACCCTACACCCTACACCCTACACCCTACACCCTAAACCTTACACCCTACACCCTAAACCCTAAACCCTAAACCCTAAACCCTAAACCCTAAACCCTAAACCCTAAACCCTAAACCCTAACCCTAACCCTAAACCCTAAACCCCGAAACCTAAACCCTAACCCTAAACCCTAAACCCCGAAACCCTAACCCCAGCCAAGGCTCCGAGTCCACTTTGCTGAGCTCTCGGCCGCTAGGGCCGGTGGAGAAGAGGACCAAAACACCCGGCTGGCCTTTATGTAAGGTTCAGGGTTTAGGGTTTAGGGTTTAGGGTTTAGGGTTTAGGGCTTAGGGCTTAGGGCTTAGGGCTTAGGGCTTAGGGTTTAGGGTTTAGGGTTTAGGCTTCAGGGTTCAGGGTTTAGGGTTTAGGGGTCAGGGTTCAGGGTTCAGGGTTTAGGGTTTCTACTGGGGTTGGGGTCTTAGGGTGGTTTGGGATAGGTTGTGGACTTTGTAGGTTTTACGGCTCGGGTTGAGGGTCTTAGGCTTTAGGGTTTGGGCTTGTAGGCGCCAAGCGTTTGAGTTTTTAGGTTTCAGGGTTAAGGGTTTTGCGGGTTCGGGCTGGGTTTAGGGTTTATTATACACACTACTGACACTACTACTACTACTACTACTACTAGGTACCGTATGTTATGTCTTATCTGGCGGCTCTTTGTCCCTTTCAGAATACAAGAACTTTCTCCTGGCTAGTAATCATAATAAATTCATGCGGTTCCTTATAATCTATTAGTATTATTATTATTATTATTATTATTATTATTAAAAGCCCGTCCGTGAACATCAGGATTCTATCACTTGTCTGCACCTTTGATTCACAGGTTGGTTTCGTTCGTATCTTCATTACGTTCACTTCACGCCCTTCATGCTTCTTTTCACTCATTATAAGGGCGTTTTCGTTCTCTAATTCAGATATTCACTTCATTTGCCATATTATGTTCTATCCCGGGTTTCGTTGATATAATTCGTACGTTTCGTGCACTCTCTTCGTTCACTGATTCACTGCCCTAATTCACTCATAGCATTCATTAGTGTGTTCCCAAAAGTGTAGAAAAACCCCTACACCCTGAACCCTAAACCCTAAACCCGAAACCCCCCGTGAGCTCTGGAGCCGAAAGTCCTGAAACCCTAAACCCTGAAGTTAGGGTTTAGGTTTAGGGTTTAGGGTTTAGGATTTAGGGTTTAGGGTTCAGGGTTTAGGGTTCGGGGCTTAGGGTTTCGGGTCTCGGGCTTAGAACCCTCAAGCCCTGGAACCCCAAAACCCTGAGACCAGCTTCTCCGGCCTTCTGCACACGACCCCGCAGCGACGGTGTTGAAGAGGTCCTGGAGTCGTTTTCTCGTACACTTGTAGGGTTTAGGGTTTAGGGTTCAGGGTCAGGGTTTAGGGTTTAGGGTTCAGAGTTCAGGGTTCAGGGTTCAGGGTTTCGGGTTTAGGGTTCAGGGTTCAGGGTTTAGGGTTTAGGGTTTAGGGTTTAGGGTTGAGGGTTTAGGGTGTAGTGGTGGTGGGTAGAACTTGGGCTTAGGGCTAAGGGCAGGGTTCAAGGCCCAGGTGCTAGTTCTGTCATGTCCCGCGATGTTCCCCCGCGATACTAACGATCCTTATGAGGGATTATAATAGGGGGTACTATAATCCCTATTAAGGCTGTTAGCATAAGGGGGAACATCCCAAATCATATCCTAACTAAATCCTAAACCCTGTGCCCACATGGTTAAGGTAAAAGGCCCGTGGTTGCATTGATGCTGCGACCTGGGCCTAGGGTTTTACGCGTCAAGGGTTTTAAGGGCTTACGGGTTTGATTCTAAAGGCCACCCCCCAAAAGGACTTAACACGAAGATTACCCAACACCCGACTTTAAAATTTGTAGGATTTAGGGTGTAGGGTTTAGGGTTTAGGGATTAGGGTTTAGGAGGTCAGATCTTCAAACTTTCCTCCCCCACAGGGACTTGAATACTCTCCGCCCACCCCCCCATATTGAAACCAAACTCTAAAGAGCCTACGAAACCCTAAGACCCTAAACGCTGCACACTACAAGGAACCCCTGAAATAAACCCTATACCCTAAACCCTAAACCCTAAACCCTAAACCCTAAACCCTAAACCCTAAACCCTAAACCCTAAACCCTAAACCCTAAACCCTAAACCCTAAACCCTAACCCTAAACCCTAAACCCTAAACCCTAAACGCTGGAATTGGAAAGAGCTGGCATGCCCAGATCCTTCGGAGCGGTGACAACGCCCGACAGTCCAGACTCGCTCCACCTGGATTTAAGGTCTGGGGCTTAGGTGATTAGAGTTCAGGGGTTTAGGAGTTTAGGGTTTAGGGTTTAGGGCTTAGGTTTTTGAGGTTCGAGTCTAGTCTAGGATCTAGGGTTTAGGAGCTAAGGGTTTAGGGTTTAGAGGGGTATGGGGTTCAGCTTACAGGTTATGGGCTTGACGTGGCCGACGTTCCTTCGAACCGGAACTGAAGAGGGGAGCGCAACTTCAAAAAGCAACCTGGACCCTCAACCCTAAATGTTTAGGGTTTAGGGTTTAGGGTTTAGGGTTTGGGCTGTCGGGTTTAGACCCTAACAAACCCTAAACCCTAAACCCTAAACCCCAAACCCCAAACCCTAAACCCTAAACCCTCAACGGTAAACCCTCAACCCTAAACCCTAGCAAACCCTCAACCCTAACAAGCCCTAAACCCCCACAAGCCCAAAACCCCAACAAACCAGGCCCTCATAGCCCTTAAAAGCTCTAACGACAATCAAGCCCAAACTCCAAAATCCCAAATCCTCAGGGTTTTGAATCCCAAAACTCCCAGAGGGGCCCCTGAATCCCTTCAATACGACTAATATAGGGGCCTTAAGAAGTAGAACAGGGTTTCGGGGGTCATTATAGAAAAATCTATAAAGGGACCACAAGGGTATTCCGACCCCTATAGTATATGCTTAAGAACCCCCCCCCCCCCCCCACCCCCCCCCCCCCCCGCCCCCCCCCAAAAAAAAAAAGACTCTTCCGCTTAAAGGGCAATTTGGCGGTTATTATCTTCTGTCGTCTCTTTAGCGGGGGGGGGGGGGGGGGGGAGTCTGAAGCAAACAGTAGAATCTGATACCACCCCTTTCAGAGCCCCAGCAGAACTTGGGCTGATAACTTCGTTGGGCTCCACAGGTCCTAAACCCTTAACCCCACAACCCCAAAAACCCTGAAACACCCTAACAACACCCCAAAACACCCCAAAAACACCCCAAAAACACCCTAAAACACCCCAAAATCAAACCCCTAAAAACACTCCTAGAATTTGAGCCCCGGCGGGGTGCCAGGGCTGCTCCCACACCAGGAGAGTCTTAATCGCCGCGCCAGGGACCCACCTGCGCACTGAAGATGGGTAACTCTCTGAACTAGGGACCCTTATGGGGTTTAGGGTTTAGGGTTTAGGGTTTGGTCCTTCTTTAAGGTTGCCGTACTACATATAGGACCCAAAAGTGGGACGATGTCCCATGTCATGCTGTCTTGACTTGCAGGGGGGCGGGGGTGGGGGGTTTGGGATTTAGGGTAGGTGTATGTAGATAGAAAAGTATAGTATGGTACAGTAAATGGTTTCGCATAGTGTAGCGTAGTGTAGTATAGTCGAGTATAATGTTAGTACAAGCAACGTGTCCGTGTTGTGTGGTTTTTCTGCTGGAGTATGGGAGCCTATCGTGCAGTGCACTGTGCTTCACCGCACATACTTCTATGAGACTATGATACTTCACGCTTTACCATACGATAGCATAGTATATTAGCTAGATTCGAGTATAGCCGGGGTTTAGACCTATTTAGGGTGCAGACTTTGAGTCTTGGGTTTGCCGTTCAGAGAGCACTCAAGGTAAAATCAACAAGGGCTCTAACTTTCGAGTGTAAGAGTACAGTAGGGTTTAGGGTTGAAGGTTTCTGCTCAGAGGGAGCAAGAGTGTTGGGAGACGAGAATCCTAAACACCGGCCATCAATCGACAAACGGCTTCAACTTCGATCCAGCAGGTCAACTCCTAAGCTCCTGGCCTCTAAGAATTTGGGGTGTGCAGTCGTGAGAAACTTTCAAGCCCCAAACTCTGAAAAAAACTCAACAATGTCCTGGAATCAAAAACACACAAAGTGGAACTAAACCATGCTACAACCCAAACACCATCTTTCGGAAACTCACATATGTGACGTGTGCATAGACTACAGACTAGCAAGTACTATTAAGTACGACTTCATCTTGTATGACTTCTACGAGTTCAGGAAATTCAGAAGCAAACCCCTTAAAGTCGCCAAGCCAGGTTGCCCAGCCAGCGCCTCCTGACGATGCACGGGCAGCAGCGGCAGCAGCCCCAAATTCGCCTAGAGGCTTCTTTCGAAAATGTCTCAGGAGTGCCCTTAGGGCATCCAATTGGCTGGAGTTTAGGGGTTGTGGGCTTGGCACTCAGGATGTGTTTTTGGGTTGCAGAGTTCGGCAGGGTCTTGGGTTCTTGCGTTCTTGGTTTTGGAGAACTCTCCATGTCTCCATGCACCGAAAGAGCAGCCGCGCAGCATAAAGCTGTGGTGGTATGGCGATGACGATGTACCTGCATGGCAGGTGACTACAGAGACCATCCTGCTCCTCCTAAACGCACTATGCTTATATCATCGTCTGCCAAGGTTCACTCTTGTATAGTACACTGTAGTATGGTCGGGTAGGATGCCTTGAAAGATGGATGGGCTGCAGGACAAGATCTGCAAAATCTGCCGCAGAGCAAAGTCGACTGCCAAGCGGCACACTGCTCCCTGAACCTTATACCCGAAACCCTAAACCCTAAACCCTAAACCCTGATCCCTAAACCCTAAACCCTAAACCCTAAACCCTAAACCCTAAACCCTACTTCGCCCTTCCACACATCGAAGCAGCTGAGCTTAGGCCAGTCAATGGGTTTTGGAAAGCCAACGCGCCCTAAACCCCTCTTGCTATTGGCAGTGCAAAATGATGTGGTTGAGAGGACAGCATGCTATGATGTATAGCAGCCTGCGAAACTACACAAAGGTATACCGACTCCCAGAGTACCGTGAGCGAGTGCCTTGTAAAGTAGCTACAGAAAAAGGACGTACCAGCAGTTAGGAAGTAGGAGGCCTGTCGTCATAAGTTTGCTTCGAAGAGGCAGGGTGCGAAGGGGCCCGATTTTAGGATAGTCTGGAGTCTGGTGTACAGCAACATGTACTGTGATATGGTTGAAGTTCGTAACTGAGTAGATAGTACCCGAAACTCTCTCATACTTCCCCTAAACCCTCCACTTGGCCCTAAACCCTACCTAAACCTAAACCCTAAACCTCTAAAAAAAGGGGGGGTTTGGCATGCCCTTCTTTGAACGTGGTTCACTTGGAGCTGTACGTCACGTCGTTGGCCGTGACGTATATTCGGTCACCGTTGATGCTGATTGCCGACACCTCGGGCGCATGCAAGATTGGATGGTTCAATCAGATGTATGTTAAACCCAAACCCTGTGTAGTCTACAGTGCTTTCTCCAAAAATGTACCAAAAGCGTGAAAAGTAGATTCAAGACTATAAAGGGTCGACCACTCTACCAACCCTAAATCGAAACCCGAAGCCCCAAACCCTAAACCCCCTAACGCCTACACCCTGGACACTAAACCCTAAACCCTAAACCCTAAACCCTAAACTCCAAACCCGAAAATCCGAGCTACCGGGGAGGAGAGGATCACGGCGGCTCCCAAGTCTGCAGCAAGGCGCTTCGCCAAGGCCTGAACCACAGATATGCAGTTTGGGGTTTAGGGTTTAGGGTTTAGGGTTTGGGGTTTAGGGTTTAGGGTTTAGGGTTTAGGATTTCGGGTTTAGGGTTTAGGGCGTAGGGTTGGCGGAGGAGGATCTGGTTTTGGAACCTCCAGCCTCCAAGAGATTGTGGTATACAAGAAAGTGTCTGCATCGCGGTCATTGCCCTGAAGTCTTGCAACGTTATTTTCCGCCTTCTAAGACATCGTATCGTGTGGACTCAATCATGCAGCAAGAATCTCCGGTTCTCAGTAGGGAATGAGGGAATTGGGGCCCTATGTATACCCTTTTCGGGAATATGTAGGGTACCTCACAAGACCGCCTGAGGATGTTACAACCTGGCCTTGTTTCAACAGAAGGCTACACGACTGTAAGCCCGAAACCCTGAAACGACAATGTTCCGTGACCATCAATGACGGCATGAAGTTTGAGACACAGGCCCAAACCATCGTAAAGCCTGAACGCTGTTAAAATAGCATGTGCTCAATCCCCATGCCCTATGGGAAGCTCTATAATATATGTATATATACATATATAATAATGATGACAATCACAATTACAATAACAATAACAATAACAATGACAATGACAATAACAATAACAATGACAATGACAATAACAATACCAATACCAATACCAATACCAATAACAATAACAATAACAATAAAGATGATAATATCCCTTTTGGGGTACCCTAAATTTTAGGTGCCGCATAAAAATAGGGAGCTAGAAAGGGACCATATTTCTGACAACCACCCATATGTATGTGCAGATACAGCACAGCATACTGTACTATATATATATATATAGCATATTGTGCTACGCATATTTGACCATACAAGTCTTCACTTTACTTTACTACAGACATTCTGTACAGTACAAAGTTGCACTGTACAATACACAAGGCTGGACGGCCTGGGTGCCCTCGGCAAGATACCACCTCAGAATACCGCTCAGACTTTGGAGAGGGCTTACGTTTGAGCCGAAAGCCTAAAGCCTAAAGCCTAAACCCAAAACCCTAAACCCAAAACCCCAAACCCTAGACGTAGCAGTTTAGGTGTAGTATGACTCTGTGGTGATACTTGTCTTCCGTACTCTGGGGCTTGGTCTGGAGAAGGAATCAAAAGAAGCCTTCTGATGCAATACAGAAAGAGAGAGAGAGAGAGAGAGAGAGAGAGAGAGAGAGAGAGGGAGGGAGGGAGGGAGGGAGGGAGTGAGGGAGCGAGGGAGCGAGGGAGGGAGGGAGGGAGGGAGGGGGAGAGGACGGAGAGAGGGCGGCACCCCAAGGCCGCACTGTATCAATAGCACCCTTTAGCATGTAGGTCCGCAGGCCTCGTAGGGGATGGCATTTCCAGTTTTGCTTGGGATTTTGTGAGGAGCCGATGCTTTCGGATGGTTCCGCATATCAGGCCTTCCGAATTTCGAGCTTGGCTTGAACTAGGTTTTAGTGTTTAGGCTTTAGGGTTTAGGGTTTAGGGTCTAGGGTAAGTTTAGGGTTTAGGGTTTCTTCTACTTGTGCAAGGGTGGAAGAGCGACGGAACACGTTGCACTGCAGCACGTCTAAGGCAGAGCGATCGAATCTCAACTAGGACTGCCTCTGTTCAAGTAGCTGCGGAAGTGAAACACGCTGAGACATACGGTCTTGGTACTAGTACTGGTACTAGTACTAGTACCAGTACCAGTACGAGCACTAGCACCGGTACTAGCAAGCTACGCGAACAGTGCGCTACTAGAGCATAAACTGCACACAAATCTACGTTTACAAGAAAAAACACTGGACCGAACATATGTCAGTCATGGAAAATATTGTACAATATGTATGTATAAGATACAAAATCAGTATATCATACAATATATGTATAATATAATATAACATATATATACATATATACATATATACATATATACATATATACATATGTAATGCTATGTAATAAAGGAAAAAGCAGAATCTACTAACATACCCGGACCCTGTTGACTATTCTACAGTTCGCAGCCACGCGACTCCTCCGCCCCAGGGTCCATGCCGCCGATGGATTTCATCTGATGAAGAACTTCGTAGGCAGAGACGTCCTCCGCTGAAACCTTCCGCTTGCGAGGGGACTCCGTTGTGTCTACTCTAGTACAATCTATAGAACCTACTGTAGCATATGATATTTTAAGTACAACATAGAGTCTGTGGTTCCGCTGTGACGAGGTACTACGAGTCCGATGCCTCTAGATGCACGCTGTGCTTGAAGGTTTGCTACCTTCGTTTCTGGCAGCTTCCGACGCCTTAGATCTCCGCTCTCATGAAGCCGTCAACATCCAAAAAGCTCCGATGCAGTATCGTAGATGACGGCAGAGGACATGAGACACGTGTTTCGTAGAAGCAGGCCGAACTTATCACGCCCGCCGCCTTGCATAAAGGGTGTGTTGAGAGTAGTGACTACAGCAGCATCCCTGCACCGTAAACCGAAAATTCCAAACCCCAAGCCCCTAAGCCCAGAAACCCACACCGGTTCAGCACAGCCCCATGGCTTTACAAAGCCGCGGAACGCAGAGGTCCGCCTCTGACCAGCCCTGCAGCAAAGATCGCGCAGACTGGAAGAAGGTCTTTTGACCTCGGCTGTCGCAGTTCCAGTACTAGTACGACAAAATACGAGTACTAGTACGACAACAACTGCTACACGAGAAGAGTCTAGGGCTTCGGGGAAAGTTAAGAGCGTACATGCGACTTATAGTGAGGGCTCAGGTTAAGGGTTTATAGGGTCTAGGAGGGTTAATTGCTCGTGTTCTGGCTTAGGAAGTTGACAAGAGAGAGCACACGGCACTTAAGTATGATAAAAGAACATAATATGCTATATGCCGACTGTATCATGATACCATATAACTTCATGAGATCTTGGCCATCGGAGATTCTAAGACCCCACAGCAACTTCCGAACGACCCCAAGCACTAGACGCCTAAAACGTCTAAAGCACCCAATGCCCAAACCCAAGATACCCTCCCGCAATCCCTATCCAGTCCTTGGCTCTCTAACACTGTAGCTAAGAAACAGAAACCCGAGTAAACCACCGCAAGCTCATAAACATCCTAGGACCTAAGCCCTAAGTACCTGAAACCCCAAGCCCCAAAACCCTGAACTGGTGGTTTCCCCACAATTAAGACTTGAATTAGGGTTTAAGGTTTTAATGAGTAGCTAAGTAAGGCTTACTTTGACGAAAACCTCAACCATCATGCCCCAAGCTACAATGCCCACTACGACGACGTTGCCCACGAGTACTACGACGACTACGACGACGACGACGACGACTACGAACCACTTCTCTTCTACTCCTACTACCCTAAACCCTAAACCCTAAACCCTAAACAGTGTGTACGGTTAAAGCACCGCTGGCTACTACTACGACGAGTACTTAAGCCTAAGACTCGCAAACGCTGAGGCCTGAACCCCAAAACTCAACCCTAGACGTTAAGGGTCAGGGTTGAGGGTTGAGGTTGAGGGTTGAGGGTTTAGGGTTGAGGGTTGAGGGTTTAGGGTTTAGGGTTTAGGAGTCAGGGTTTAGGGTTTAGGGTTTAATGGCTTAGGGTTTCGGGTTTAGGATTTAGGGTTCAGGGTTTAGGGTTTAGGGTTTAGATCCTATACTGTATACCACACCCTGTTATTTACGATAGGTCTACTATACTACAGGCTGCCATACTGCGCTCTACCATGCGAGCCCGAGACTTCCTTCCTTCCTGCGCTTTCAGCGGTCCGCTGGTGCTGGCCAAAAACGGCATCTTAGCCGCAGCCGATGTGAGACGAAAGGCCTAGGGGAGCAAACTGTACAAGCAAGCCCATGGCGAGGTCAATGAACGTGGTGCACGGGGGAAAGCTGCAGTGGGCGGGCGATCACACCAGGCCTCGACCACCAACCACGAAAGCGATCCACAGCGCCAGCCCAACGGGAGACCAGCGTGGCGCAAGTACCGTGCAGGGAAACCATGCGAACCAGAAGTGAGCGGTCGACTGATGCCAGGACGGACCGGACAGCAGTGGTCGGAGAGCCGACCCACCACAGGGCACCAAAGGGCCCCAGGGCCGTGAGCACACGACGCATGGTGACAAGATGCCGGATGAAGGACACCCGCTCCAGTGTACAAGACTCCTTGTTCGAGCCACGCCGAATGGTCGACTCGTCCCACGGGAGTTGCAGAGCGGCTTCAAGCCGAAGGTTTGCCAAGGCATCCCAAAGCGTGCGAGACCACCACGGCTCATAGGCAATCCTGGCCCACACTTCCCACGATGCAGACCAACTGGCAGCAGCCTGCCAGAGGCCAGGTGCGGTGATTCCCTCCCAGAAAGGAGAGGGGTGCGCCGGATGATCAGAGATGAACCATGCCCTCGTCCATGTGGGTGGTGCCGGGCAGTGACGGCCGGTATCCAGGACGACTCCAGGCACATCGCGTAGCAAAGCGGCACGCGCCTGGGCAGCCCGATCGGCTGTGGCTTGCTCCAGCTGCATCCAGGACTGCTGCTCAGCTGCTAGCTCGTCCGGCGTCGCATACCGGTCCGCAGCGGCCGCAGCACGTTCACAGGGAGTGGGCAGGCGAGGCCCAGGCAATTGCAAAGGCGGCACACGCAAATGTCTGGCGGTGCCCTTACGCCTCGTGCCGACCCCTGGGGCGTAGAGAGGCCCCACGACATGGCGGAGCCCAGAGCGGCAGGCCGGCACATGCTCAATGTGGTACCTCAGTCGCGTCGTTGAGTGGAAGTCTTGAAGATACCACCGGCAGACTGTGTCTGTGATCATGGACATGCTGTCGGAAACTTTACCATGCTTGCGATGTAGGTGGGTGGCAAGCGCGTGTTTAGATGGCAGAACCTGGAGGCACTCTGGGCAAACCGAGTCGCAGGCAGAACCTATGGTGCCACGATGGGATCGGACTTCCCTCGTGACCCACAAGTCTTTGATGGCACGTACCAGAGTCCCCGAGCGGCTAACCCGCTTGCAGGCGGCCAAGAGAGGCCTTGCATGGCGCCGTACAGACGTGCGGAGACCTTGCTCCAACCACCCCGCACCAAGGCTCGCAGCCATGCCTACAACCTTAGCGGCGCGCGCTAACGCTATGACCCAAGGAACGTCACGGTAGTACGCTGCCTCGACAATCTCCCACACAGGCTCAGGAGCCGACACGCATAACTGGACCAGCAGCCGTGTCCTGGCGATAAGCAGGCCCTCAGCAGGTGGGGAGGTGCAAGGCACCAGGATCTCCAACATAGCGTTAGTTGCGTGGCGCGCGTTCTGCCACGTGCGCCAGGTTTTCCTCCTGACGCGATCGAGAAAGCCGGCGAGAGGGGTGAGGCAGCGCGGATGCGGCGCAAGCATGGTGGACAGGCTGGAATATGCCGAGGGCAACACACGACCATCAATCCACGCCACACGGAGTGGCCATGGCAGGTGATCGTTGGTGAGCAAGGGACCTGCAGCAACCTCTGCAACCCTACCGCGACACACGGAGAGCTCAACATCTCTCCTGCCCGTGTCTCTAGGTACCTGGGGCACCCCAAGATACTTATACTCCGGGCAAATGCGGATCTGCTGACCGTCGGCCAAGCACAAGGATGCCGGCCCTTGGAGCAGCTCCCCCCGAACCGTAGCAGCTCCTTGACCCCGCGGATCGACTAGAAGCTCGGTCTTCCCTGCCCCCAAGTTGACCCGAAGGCGAAACTCGGAGAAAGTTTGAAGGGTAATGTTGCTCATGCAGCGGGCTGCTGGTGGCAGGTCGGCGGCACTCTCCACATCCGCAAGCAACACCAGGTCGTCAGCCCAGGCGATCGGGCAAATCGTGGCCTCGGGCTCCCCAAGTGCAATTTGCAAGGCGCCATGACCCACGCCAGCATGTTGTAGCCGGCGACTGAGCTCCCGAATGAGGCAAGACATGACGGCTCCAAAAAGGACATCGGCCAGCCCGTCTCCGGGCCTGCTACCCCGCGCCGCGAGCACGGGCAGGGAGTCCCCACACAGGAGCCAACTCGAACCCGTGACACAGTCCTGCAGCAGAGCCATCTCAGAATCGGGGACACCTAGTCGGGCCAGCGCCCCCACGTCAAGGAGTTGCTGAATCCAAGGTAGGATGTTGTCAGCCTGGGGCCTGCGGTCACCTGGCCCTCCGAAAAGCAGTTCCCGATCGACCTCATAAAAAGCCGCCTAAACATCAACGAAAAGGGCCAGGATCGAGCGCCCGGCACTTTGTGACAGGCCGACGGCCGACCGGAAAGCGGCCAGGGCAGATCCCACATGCATGCCCGGGCGTCCCCCTAGCTGCAGCGGTTGGTACGCGTCTACGACCCGTCTGCCCAAGGTATTACGCAAGTGGCCGTGCCAGAGCTTGGCCGCGCCGTTCAGGAGGACAATGCTGCGATAGTTGGCCGGTAGGTGGGGCGGACCCTTCTTATACAGTGCACAGGCCAGCGCATTCTTAAAGTCGGCCGGCTCCCTGACCGACAGGGCCATTTTTGCCTGCAAGAGCCAGACCCACCGGCCTGCTAGCACTGGCTGGGATTGCCATAGGCCATTACGGATGCCGTCGGGTCCCGGGGCCTTGTTGGCCTTTTGTCGGCGGCAAATGGCTTCCGCTTGCGCAAGTGTCGGTACCGCAGCCGGACACGCCACCGAGGGCTTGGCTTGCCATGCATCATGGTGCTGCTGGAGCTGATCGCGGGTAACTACTGTCCCCGCTTCCTGGGAGCGAAATTGTTCACGCAAGGCATCCTGCGTGTCATAGCCCCCCGCAGCGGCGACACGTCGACGGTCAGCAGCCCGTCGTGATGCCCAACGGAGATGGAGAAGAGCCTGGTCAGGCCGACCTGTAGTGTGCCACTTGCCGATCGCACCGGACAGCAATGAGTGCAAGTGTCTCGCCTTGTCGCGGCGCGCCAGTTTAGTAGTTAGCAGCTTGAGGCGGCGTTCAAGTTGGGCCAACTGAGCGTACCTACGCCATATCCGCAACCGGACCTGGCCGTCGGCATGTCGACCACGTCTCCAGGCCTGGAGGAAGCATACCCGGGTCCAGGCTTTAAGGGCAGCTTTGCGACAGCCTGCTTTAAGCTCACGGGTGCGTTTGAGGCGCTGCAAGGCCTGCCAAGCCTCTTGGCTAAGGTAGGGCTGTGTCGGCACCGCCTGAGGCTTGCGCGGAAGGTGTTTGCGCGCCCGGGAGAAGGACTCTGTTAAGCATTTCAACTGCTGCGTCGCGGAGACATGCATGATCTGTGCCCACGAAGGCTGCATTCGCCACAACTTGGGTGCAAGGTCATGCATTTCAGTCGCAGAGGGGATACGAGACCCTTCCGGTTTGTGATTCTGGGTGGGCAAGGTGATGGAGCCTACCGCCCAGAGAGGCATATGGTCGCGCGCCCCGCAGAGGATATCGAGTGTAGGGTATTGCTGGGTGCATGTCACATCGCAGTGTGCGGCAGTCGCTAGAAAGTGATCCAGTCGCTTACGAAGACCGGACGCATGCTGCCAGGTCCATGTGGCACCTGCATGGATGGTGTCAAAAGTAGCCGGCGCCCATAGTTGGAAGTCCCCAACAAGCTGCAGAAGTTTGTCCTCGCCTACTCTGGGCTCATGCACCCCAACCCGGGATCCTACGGCCATGCCCTCCGGGTCTGCCTGGGTGAAGTCAGCGTTAGCATCAAGCCCGATCCAGATGGCCGAGTTCGGGCGCAGCTTGCGTAAGGCCTGACTCATGGTCCCCCAGAAGCGGCGGATTTCTGGCTCTGGACGGTCAGCATGGGGCGCGTGTGCGGACCCAACAACAACTGGCGGCTGCAGATATCGCGATCTCACGATCAGTAATCTGGGTTCGGAGTGAACAATCACCCAATCGTCGAGCCCATTGCCGCCAGCTAGCCAGGTGGAGCGAATCCAGATCTCGCAGCCCGCCTGCCCCTGTCTGTCAGCCCCGGAGCGCCAAGTCAAGAAATGCCCCAGCTTCCACCGACCGCTCCTGGATCTGCATTCCTGAAGGGTGACGACATCAATCTCTTGTTCTGTCAGTTGGCGGCACAGATAGGCGCGACGTTGCCCAGTGCCCGTGCGATTAAAGAAATGAGGCAGGACATCGCGGATGGTTTGCACATTGGCCTGGACAGCCGTAAAAGGCAGCCGGCACAGAGTATCTGGCTGCTGCAGCAACGTGGCTTCCGCGGCTGGCGCCCCAGCTTGCTCTGCCGAGGCCGCAGTACCACCAATGTTAATGTGCATGGCTGTAGCTCCCTCCAAGGTTCCAAAGGGGACCAGCCAGAGGTTCGCAGCCCCTGTCTGCCATAGCTGAGTCCAATCCGCCGGCAACGGCCTAGGGGAGGCAGGAGTGATCGCGGATCCTGTTGCAGCAAGACCTGCTAGGCTATCTGCCAGCTCGTTGATCAAGAAGCCTGCATGTCCAGGCGTGTGCACGAAGTCGGTGCTGACCCTTGACTGGACGGCTTGCCAGGCATACCGCGCGTCAAGCGCCCACGGGGTTAATGCCTGTGCATGCCCCGCTGCCACCATGAGGGCCGCCTGATGATTATCAACAGCTGCTAGGACGCGCATCGGCCTAGTGCCCCATGCTGCGAGGTTGGCATCAATCCAAACTGTGGCCCATAGGGCAGCCTGCTGCAAGGCCTCGAGCTCGGCCGCATAGGATTGTAAGGCTGCTGGGGGTGGTGGTCCAGTATTCCAAGGTGTGCGGTGGAGCACACCATTTTCCCAGCCTATTTTCTTCCATGCTCCTTCCTGCCAGCCCCATGCCGTGAAGGCCCAGGCTCCGTCCTTAACGCCGGAGCCGTCGGTCGAGATGAGCAGTTGTTCAGGTACACCTCGAACCCAGGAGGGGTACAAGTCCCACGGAGCAGGGGAGGCACCGACACGGGGAGCTGCTGCTCCAAGTCATCTGCCATCCAATGCCGATACAGGTATTCTTGCACCCGTGCTGCCCCGGTGAGATCGGCCTGCCAAGATTGGTCTGGGAGCTGTTGCCACTGCAGACTCGGGGCCCCTCTAGGACAGAGGTAGCATTGCCAAAGTTGGAAATGGCAAGGCCGCTCAGTTGGGACCAGCTCCTCCAGAGAGGCATCGTGCATGACGGTATGCGGGGCCCTAGCAAGGCAGTCAACTGCCGCCTGCCAACCGCAAAGACAGCAGGCAACGGGAAGGCGGGGAACACGTCGCAACCAAAAGGTCATGCCTCCGGACGGCTCCTGTCCCCACCCTACCTTGGGAGTGGACGTCCCAATGGGTGACATGGCAGATGAGCGTGAGGTGCGCGCCGTCAACGGAACCTTACACCTGGCAGCCCGCAGATCATGTCCCTTTCTGCAGGGATTCGACGACACCATGGTCACTACAAGCAGACCCGCAGCTACAGCCCAAGAAGGATAGAGCAGTCCAAGGGAAAGAGGGACCAGCAGAAGCAGTATCCGCCATACGTTGCCGTTCCTGTGTGCCATACCCTCAGAGTCGGGGAGAATGCGGTCAATGACATCTCCATCTCTTAACTGGCTCACAGTGGTGCCTCCGCCCGCTCCGCGGATAATGCAGGTGTCGCTTAGTGACGTCGCATCCGCACTGCGTCGTCTACAAACGACAGGGCTCACCAGATCCAAAACATGATTAATTGCACAAAGACGTCCCCGTCACGGAGATAGACGTCAGCCCAGTCAGATGCAGTAGGGTCCAGGGACACCGGCCCTTTATACGTATAGCCCACGCCTAGAGAGCGTTCCCAAGCCGCCTTGGGTGAACGTCGCAGCACTAGGCGCGGCGACGGTTGCGCCTGATTGGCAATCAGGACCGTCACCAAGGGCTGCGGCGCTGCTGGTACAAAATGTAAGGTGCTCAGACTAACTGCAGGCCAGACAGGCACCAACGGCGAGTCCCACCGAGGCATGCCCTGTTGGAAGAAGGCGATCATGTCCGTGTCGGTGATGGAGGAGGGGACTTTGAGCGGCGGCATGGGTCCAGTGACCGGGCACAAGAGTTGAAGTCCGAAGAACTGAGAGGCTCCTATAGTCAGCGGTCGCGGTCTGAAAGATAGAGTTCCGTGTTGATGAAACAGTCCAACCCTCACCGTGCGAGGACGCACGAATCTTGTCGCCGAAGCGGACTCACTAGAGCACCGAGGAGATCTAGAGCGAGGAGACCCTGGGCTATCGTCCTCCTCATCCGATGCCGCAGCAGAGCCCAAGCCGTACAGGAGCATTCCAGTGGCCTAAGAAGAGGCAGATGTTCAGGGAGCGCGGGGAGCCAACAGCGCCAGCGGCAGGCCGGGCTTCGACCACATCGCCGTCCCGCAAGTTATTGCACGCTTCACTACCCCCGCGTATGACATATGCGCATGGAGGGATATCGTCCCGCAGGCGTACCGCACAGTAAGGCTGCGCCGCTACGCGGGATTCGATGAGCAAAACATGGGCCCGAACGGGGTTGTCTGACCTGCTGCACAGGTGGCAGCCCGGCTTGGGCATCCAAGGCACAGGTGTCCATCGAATCCCTGAGCCCTCCCATTGCTCCTGAAAGGAGCACAAGTCTGGACGCCAAACAGCCCCTGCCGGTAACCGTGCCGTGCACGGCCGCTGACGGGGTTGCCTCGGTCCCGGGACTCTGAATGTCTCTCAGAAGCGGACGGCTGCAGTGTAGGCGGGGGCGAAGGCGGCGATGCACATAGTGCTGCTCGGAGGCGTGGTCCCTGGCTCTACTCCATTGGTTGTGTTGCCTTCCTGGTCGCTCATGGTGGGGTCCCCAAGCAGATGATGGCCTGGGGTATCTGCCTGGCCCATGGCATTACCTCCCAAGCAGACGGAGCTCGTGCAGGAAGTGCTCCTCCATTACGAGCTGGCCGCATAGCAGTCTCCCATTGGGGGGACTCCGCTGCCGCCATGACCTTGACGGCTTCCAGCGCAACGCACCGTGCCATTCAACGGGAGCTTAATGGCAGGACGAGTGCTCGCACCCCTTTTGAGCCCCAGCCTACTAGGGAGTGACGATGCAAGGTTGATCCATTTCCGGGTGTGGTTCCCGGGAGGTCAACTGCACAGGGCCTTCCTTGCCAAGTGCACATGGCAGCATGTAAGCAGTGCTCTGTTGAGTGAGCCATCACTTACTCGCTTCCACCGGCTGGATCCGATCGCTGCAGCACCCGACGACCAGTGTGTGCATCTCACGGCCGCTGCGCCGGAGGCGCATAAGGTTAACATCCTGGTTAAGTTGGAGGATAGTGTGACATGTATCGCAGTCGACGCTGCACAGGCGGGGGCTCAGGTTCATAGCTGGGCCGCCGGGCAACTCCCCTCACCGCCCTTCCGTGTGGACTGCGCCTTTTCCGGGTTTCCCCGCAACGGCGACTCTTGTCTGGTCGTCCCTTCTTCAGCACACTTGAGGCCTGAGGTTTTAGATGTCAGTGTGGCATCCTTCTTCTTCCGGCCACATCCGCAATTCCGGGGCTTGGAGACACAGGTGTTTCCCCTCATCCAACCAGAGCAACCTCATTTGTGGTTGCATCGCATGGCAGGCGTATCGGCTAGGGATACCGTATTGGACCTCCTCAACCAAATACAGCCAATTGACGCTGCCCCAGTCACGATTGTGGACCTGCCTCATGCCGATTTTGGTGTTTTGCATCCGGTCTTGCTGGCTGCCCCTCGCGGCTGCTTGTGCACAGTGGTTTGGCTCTGCGATGCCCATGACCCGGCGCAGCTGGGTATTGCATGCGCTGTCAAAGGTGTCTTTCCCAGGAAGGGTGCTCTCCTGCTCGCGCTTCAGCAGCTCGACGCTGGACTGGGCCGGTTATGGCAACGCGCGCCAGATAGCGACCTGTGTTGGGAGGCTAGGAAGCGAGTTGCTCTGCTAGAAGGACCTACCGTGCTTTGTGAAATTGCTATAGCACGAGCCGATTGCCGCAAGCTCTTGGTCCTTCCCCCGGAGAACTCCCTTAGTTCAGCGCCTATGTATGATAACTTGCATCGGACGGCTGACGAACCCCCGCATAGTGTACCCTTTCACTGGCTGTTGGAGGCTGTCCGGCATCAGTCTCCTGGCATGTTCGGACAGTTGTTTCTGCACGTAGCACTAGAAGTGCTGGCAGCTCGCGGTATGGCAGCGCCGGGGCAGCAGCGTATCCACCTGCGTAGTGATGTACTGTTTGCATCCCCTCTGTATGATCGACGGGGGCCTCGCCGGGGGGACTGTGTCGATTGCTTCCGCCGCCCAGCTCCGAAATGCTGCCCTGTGGCAGCGCTTTCTTGTGGCACAAATGCCCTTTGAATGCCACCTGTGGGTCCCATCTGGAACGCGAGTTTGCTCCTTGCCCCCAGGGGCCCAGTGGCTGCCAGATGAGGCAACCTTTGATCGACTGCAGGAAGCGCAGGTAGAGGGGCGCTGGGCTCCATGTCCTTGGCCAAAGGCAGACAGCCGCTTCCTGGGCGACTATAAAGGGAAGTTGCCAAAGGGCATGATGCCGGGCCTGATGCCGGGCCTGTTCGATGGTCAGGAAAGTGGGCAGCTGAGGGTCCGCCCGAACTCGATCCGCAGCCAAAGCAACAAGCACATCTCCATGACGTAGGCTGGGATTCGCATCCATCAGGGTGGCATGTGGCGGGACTACCTCGGAAAAGCCTAGTGCCTGTGCTGCCTGCGGTAGACTCATGCCACGAAGTAGGAGGCGCGCGCATACCGGCCCAGCGCCACAGACCACTACGCAGAGTAAGGGCGCAGGAGGGCATGGGACCATGTGGAGAATCTCCCGCGTAAGGGCAGGCCAGACCGGTGTGGGCTGGCAATGCCAAGGTGGCCAGGTATCCCGAAAGACATCGAGCACCTCCGAATCTTCCGCCGAAGGCTGCCTGCGGCATATCACCTGAGCGCCTGCAACTGGGCACAAAAACTGCAGTCCGCGAAAACCGCTAGCGCCCACGAGCCCCGGCCTCGTGGGCAAGAAAGGATGGGAGGCTTCTGCGTACAGGCCAACACGCACGCTTCGCAGTCGAAGAGTATCGTCCTCGACATCCACTATGTCAGAGTTGCGCGCTGGGCTGCGGGACCTAGCGGGAGGGACCTGGACCGCTACGATCGACTGGGCCAGTAGCACTAGCGTCCAGCTCCTGTGTCTGAGTGAGCTGAAGAGGAAGCTTGCCACCAGGAGACCGGGACCCCACGGCGTCCGACAGCGCCTAGCGGCCTTCCGGGCGGGGGGCAAGGGTTTGCGGGCATGGGACTGAACAATGTCTCCGTCCCGGAGCACCAATTCAGGCCGCTGCCAGTCGCCGCTGTGTGTATAGCCGGGAATGACCCAAGACAGCATCCCGTATCCACGCACGCGAGCAGATACATCCTGCTGGGAAGGGTATCGTGGCCAGCGTTGACACTGAGTACCCCGTGGAGCCATGACTAGAACGTGTAGTAGGACCTGTGGTCGGACCGGGAGGTCATGTAGGAAGCAGAGCGTGTCACCTTCATTGACTGCCTGCAGAAGCACCTGTGGCTGCAAGATGCGAGAGTGCGACTGCGTCAGCTGGTGGAGAACTTGCCAACAAGTGGAGAATCTGTTAGCATTGACAACGATGATCCCAAGATCGATAGCTCGTAAATCGACCGCCAAGGAGTGTCCTCCCAGGGCGCCTTCGGCTGTCGCCAAGTACTGAAACGGTGGAAGCTCAGGCAGCGGGTATTTCAACCGACGGAGCGTGAGTGGCTGAAGTTCAGGGAAGGACCTGACCCACCGGCGGAATTGTTCTGACTTGCTAATGAGCATGTCCAATTCAGCATGAATGATGCCGAGCTCAGAGATAATGCACGCATGCCCTGTAGAAGAAGGGGACTGCGAAGCTGCTCTGTCCATGCGCTGGTCACTGTCCCTAAGCCTGGACCTCTGCTGATGCACTCTGGCAGCCGGGGTCCACGTAATAGTGTCACATCTTGGCACCAACAAGGGCTGAGAATCAGCTACAAACCAACCGGGGGCACAATGACACAGATCGGCATCCGGAGTATACTGATAACCCAAGGAAGCAGCAAGTCCTTTGACAATTTCTCGGCAGGTCGAGTATCGGTGCATATTCGCCGACATGGTGTGCCCCGGTGAGGCTGCCACACGAACCGGGATTGTGTGGACATTCCATGGCAGTGTTGCATCCTGAAGGACATATTGCTCCGTCGGCAGTTCGGCAAGCACCGAGTGTATGGAGAGAAGATGGGCAGCACGGGCGTCCAGTCCGAAAGCTTGCATCACTACAGTGTCCAGGGCGGGTCGGAAAAGCCTAGCATCAATCCGTAGCACTGACGGTTCGGATCCTGAGGCAAGCCGTCCGTGGAAGATTGCGATTTGGCGCACGTACTGGGGCTGACATGCTTCTCGCAAAGTGAGTGGCCTCGACCCGACCTCTTCCAGGGGATACAAGTCAGTGAGGTTAGATGCTGGTGGAATCGACCCTACGGTAAGCATGGGAGTGTGTTGGGTCGTTGTCGACACGCTTACTTGCATCAGGGACAGTGATAACCCAGCAACCTCTGACGGCCCACGGTGAGGCTTGCCCGGCACAGAACTGTGGGCCTCACCGTCTAGGTTGCCATGCGGATGAGTTTGGCCATGGCCAACGGCGCCAACCGGGGAGCACAGCAGGGCAAGGAACAAAACACCTCTTCCCCGCAATCGGCAGTCACGTCTTGTGCGGCGCAGGTGGCACCAGCGGGTTTTGCCGGCAAAACGTCGACCAGGATGGGATGCACATAGTCCCATGCAGAATGCCAGCAAAGGGCACCATGCAACCAAGCACGCAATGACTGAACCGGAAAGAAAGGCACCGCACAAGAGAGCACAGCCGATGAAAGGCCACAGGAAGGGACCCTGCCATAAAGCCATGCTGCGGGGGGAAAACCAAGTCTTGGTATTTACAGGCATACCATCTGAAGGAGGTGCTGGCGTAACCTGACCCGTAAAAGTAGCCCAGCAAGACGCCGTAGGTAAGGATTGGCCAAATTGCCACCGCGGCGATTACGGCAGTCCAAGTCAGTGTGACAGCGATTGTTAAGCCAACTAGCTTACTCCAACACACTCGACCCTGGTCTGCCCCATACTGAACGCGGGAATGCCCAAGCAGGAAAACTCCCCCAAAGATACAGAAGCCTCCGAAATGCTCCCAAAGAGAACCTACACAGAAGCTCCTAGTCATCTGAGGTCCCAGAAGAACCAACCCCAAGACAGCCATAGCGCATATGACCGTGACCTGCCTGCAGACTCCCCGTGCTGATGTCATGTGGCCGTAAAGGGACATGCACACGCCTGCAAGATAGACTGCGGTGGAGTCGCCATCGTGGTGTGTCCCAAGCGGTCGGCTCGATCCGCGTGCGTGTTGACCACCAGGTCTGGGTAGAGGAGCTCTTCCAAGGCTTGCGGGGCGAAGGAGTGTATGTCCGGCACATGAGCTGTCAGAACATGGCCCAGGAAGATCAGTACCATGGGGCATGTAGAGCAGGCTGCCGGGCAGTCCCGTATCGCATGGTAGGTGCGTAGAACGTCTTCCACGATGGAGGCTAGCATCGGCCCCGAAATGACCGGATGCTCCTTCATTAACAGGTCCATGGTGGCCGTCGCCTCGTGCTGGACTCGGTTGGCATCGTCCAAGGCCTCTGTCGGGTGAAAGCTTCGCAGGGACGGGTCTGATCGCAAAGTGGTAGTCGACCGTATAGGTCTAATAGGTACTGCGTCACCCCGTTCCAAGCTTCCCTCCATTGATTCGCCCACTCCGTCCAATCTTCGGCCGGGTCCATGGCCTCCCCAAGTGTCTCGTCTGCCTGGAAAGACATTGGCTCGGACTGACGATCTTCGAAACCACTGGTCCTGGCATCTTCTGCAGTGGCTATGCTGGCCGCAAAAGCCGACTCCCGCTGGGGCCTCGTAGGCATAAGTCCAGAGGCAAGGGAAGTCCATGGGGAAGGCGCCATCTCTGCCGTCATCGATGATCGTTCCGAACTCCCCAGCTGGGCAGGCTGTGCCAATCCTTGCGTGGACAGGGGGTTGAGAGCTGGGGCACGCTGTACTTCCGTGCGTGGGCTCTTCCCAGGTCTCTCCTCCTCCTCCTGCATGGGCAATGGCGCTCTCTTGGACCAGCGGTTGTGCGTGATGCCGGGAGGGGGACCCAATGGAGGCCGCCATGTAGAAGATGTCCCAGGCATGTCTGTCGGTGGTATGGCCGCAGAGGGTCCCGTCACAGGTGCGGGAGGGGAATCCTGTCTTGAAGCAGCAACATTGCGTAGTGCATGTACCGCTCGGCTGGTCAGCCCCGTGCAAGTAGAAGGCAGTACCTGTCCGAGGCCATCCTTGGCCCGCTGTAGTAATGCCGCCGTCGCAGTGGAGTGGGGACCCGAGGACTGCGCCGAAAGCAGGTGAAGTGCCTCCATTGTGTCCTGATCGAGCTGTTGCCCTTGACGTTCGGCCTCCGCCACATGCTGCGGCAAGTGCTCCGCTATGGCATTGAACCATTCCAACGCCGCGTCTCCCAATTCCTTCTTGGCCTTGAGGTTCGCCTCCAGTCTCTTGGTAGCTTTGGCAATCTGCGATGCAACGAAGTTGGCCTCCTGGGCGATGGTGCGGTTGCTCCCCATGGCGGCTTCGTTGGACAGAATGGCCTGCTGAGCTCTGCCTGCACGTGCCTGCAAGGCCATCATGACCGACTGCGGTGGCACAAACTTGACTGAGCTGCTCGGTGGTGCCGCTTGCTTGCCACCACCTTTGTTGCCCTTGTTGGTCTTGCCGCTTTGGTCTTTCTTTGGCGCCATAGATCCGTGATGAGCGTTCAGAGTCACACGATCGAAGTGGGACGACAGGCCAGCCCTGTACCGCTGGCGCGCAAGGGATCTCTTGCGCCGCTGTCGCCGGTGCCAGGGTGGGGACGGAAGACGAGTTGAGCGGGACCTCGGTATGGCTGGATTCCAGTGCCAAAAATACCGCCTCGAAGAGGAAGACAACCACACCTGCAAAGCGAGTGGTTGAAAGTAGCCCAGGCATATGCTGCCGCCAGGCTAAATACCGACACCCACCAGCCAGAACCAGTTGGGTAAGTCACACCAGTGAAGAAGAGTTGATTAATGGGTCGGCCCAGTAAAGTGCAGCGAACCACAACCAGAGCTCAAAAAGCAAAGTGCAGGCACCCACGCCAAACACCAGAGTAGGCGACGTCCACGAAGACAATCGCCAGCACCCACCAGTCAATGAAGGATGCAGCGCACAGCGGATCGCGGAGCGAAATTGCGTGCTGGGGTCGGGCTAAGACAGCAAGAAGCCAAATCGCTGGCACGAATGGCAAAACGCTGGCAGTTGAGCCGCAACACCTGAGCCCGAGACTCCCTTTAACCCAAGACCCTCTCTGGGGTTTGGGGTTTGGGGTTTAGGGTCTCGGGTTTAGGGTTCAGGGCTTGTTGTGTAGTTCTCGAAATTCTGGTCTTTTTTGGGGCACCTGACAGAAGAGGGGCCGCCTTATAATAAGGACCCTGAATGGAGCCCATGTAAACACTAATGAAATTTGTCTGCCAGGCCCGAAAATTCGTGTGCAAACTCGCGGGCAAGACCCGTTTGTGGCTCCAGATTGGAAATCGGCTCTGTGGCGAATATATCCCCTTGTACTGAATAATGTCTTTTCCTAGCCGAGGCCCCAAGCGACCGTAACCCTTAACCCTAACCCCTTAATCCTTCCCAGCGGCCGAGGTAGGCGGACAAGCTCAAGGAATCCAACTTCTGGCGGTGCCTGGGGAGGGGGGGTAAGGTGTTTAGGGGGGGCTTTAGGGCTTGGATGCAGCCGTTTTTAGGGGCTTAACGTTTCGGGTATAGGGGTAGGGAGGGTTTGAGGGCGTATAAGGGCTCGGGTTGTGGATTTGGGCCGGTTTGGGTTCAGGGGTACGGTTTGGGGAGTTGGGTTTGCAACGCAAAACAGCTGCAGGATACGATTGTATGCTCTGTTCTGCTGTCGTATAAGTACAAACCCACTTTCGTGATACGACTTGACCCTCAACCCTACACCCCAAACCTGAACCCTGAACCCTGAATGACATCCTGTCGTATGCTATGCCTTAAGACTCTAAGCCAGGGCGCGAGTCCGACAAGGCCTGCAGGTGACATTTTTGTCTGTAAGGTGTAGGCTTTGGGGGCTTTTCGGGGGGGGCTTTAGTGTAGCAATTTAGGTGCCGAGATTTGAGGCACTCAGCACTAGTCGTACGTAATCGTAGCAGCAGCAGCAGCAGCTGGAGGGATCCGAGAAACCAATGAAAAGGCATCCAGTCGCAAGATTCGCTCGTGACACACAATGGATCGATTCCCAACCCCCGTCTCCCCATCGAGCACGACCGGTCACACTTGTTTTTGAAGGAATTCCTTGGATCATTGTCCTTCCTGTACGTATATGACGTGAATAAAATATCTGCCATGCCAGCCACAACGTATATTCACAAGTCATGGGAAATGCCCTTCTAGCTCTAACCCTGAACCCTTCATGTTCAGTTTTGCGACTATCCTTCGAAAGAGACCCGGGAGAGGGCGGTCCGAAGTATCGCTGCAAGGGCCGACGCTCGCCTTTTTCACAGGAGTCACGCCCTACAAAAACAGACTTCCATTTGACTCACAAATCAAAAGATCTTAAGCACCAGCCTGCCCAACGATTCGATCGAGATATGTAGATATTGGGGATATTTCCCTTCGGTTTTAAATGCCCGTAGGGCTGAACATGTGCATGAGAGTCTTCGTGAACGCAGGCCTCATCTGCTTACAAGATTCATAACAACACATAGTGGTTTAAGTGTTGGAGGAGATGTGCACACAGCGTACTGTCTGGCTGAAGCCCCCCCCCCCCCCCGATGTGATGAGATAGAAGCATCCAAGCCACCCGTTGATTTCTGCCTACTCGTTGAACTTCAGGTTGTGCTCGTTTTGTAGAGAGGTGCCGTAGAGAACTTCACAAGCAAACCGAAAACGCGGCCCCTCAGCGTCCCTCTTGCACGCCCCGAACTTGAAAACCTGAGCCCGAAACCCCAAACCCTGAAAGCAAAGATTCCAACACTTGAGCCCTGAAAGCGCCTGAGCCAAACACAAGAACTATAGTAGACCAAAGCATGCTCCAGTATACTAAACCCAACAAGAGTAAATGAGTAAACTAAAGTGGAGAATAGTACACGATATACCGTCAACTATAGCGCACAGTAGCATGCTCTCGCCTCCTATGGCCTACACGTACACAACTAAAAGCCCTGCACTCAAAGTGTACTCTAGTAGACTTGAATGAGAGCAATACCTGCCGGCATCAACTTCATGAACGTTCTCAAGGACCTGCGTCCTGCGATGCTTTACTTTTGCGGGGCAACCAATCTAAGAACTTCAACCCTAAATCCAAAATATCAGCCCGAACTCCTACCAAATCCGGAACCCTAAATCGTCGGTCCTCACTGCTAGGCTCCTAGACCCTACATCAGTCCCAACCCCCTCGAAGCCTGAAACAGACCACCATACTACACAGATTGCTAAGCTCTGTAGTGGGCCAATCAATTTACTAGATTGAATGGACTCGAAAGCCATGCTTGGTGAGGTTGGGTTTAGGGTTTAGGGTTTAGGGTTTAGGGCTTAGGGCTTAGGGCTTAGGTTTAGGCCATAAAGTCCTCCCTTGCCTTCATGCTGCTCTCAACGCGCCAGCTGGTTTGCAGCAGATCCATCTGACCCATGCACGACCTGGTGTCCACCAAAGTTTCTAGGGTGTATAGTGTGGGATGCTCCCCTTATACTAGCAGTCCTTGATAATAGGGGTCCTATAATCCCTAGTAAGGACTGTTTGTACAAGCGTGGACATCCCTGTGTCTAGTAGACAAACTTCTTGCATTCTTCTGGATGGTTCTTAGTAGGGAGTTAGGGAATGAAGTACCCCATACCATCCCTTAATGGGTATATGAGGGCCCTAGTTCAGCCCAATTCCCTCATTCCCTACTAAGAAGCAGGGGTCTTCTACTGCCGCAAAGCATCAGATATCTGGGGCTCCGACCCGGAAGCCATTAGGGGCCCTGTGTTGTTGAGAAACGCCCATTCTCGAATCAAACTACCCTAGATTCTTGTAGTTCGCTGCATCACTCTGGGGCTGGGCACTGCGGGGACAATCTGGGGTTGGGCTCTCCAGGTTGGGCACTTCAGGGAGACTCTGGGGCTGGGCACTTCAGGGAGACTTTGGGGTTGGACTCCAGGGACACTCTAGAGTCGGGACTCCAGTGACACTTTGGGGTTGGGCACTCCAGGGATGAGCGAGGAGTAGACCGGGCGAGGAGAGGAGTTCCGAGGAGAAGAGTTGAGTTTAAAATCTAATAAATCTAACAACCCCACACCCAGATTGGGAAAAAATGAGAATCCCTATATTACCCTTGATAAGGAAGAATATTTTCTTTTTCGGGGTTCTTAAGCAATTAGTAGTCTCGTAGAGTATCCTCATACCCTGGTTTCCTCAGCCGAGTCGCAGCGGCAACGTCTTTGCGGAATGGCGTTTAACGTCTGCATCCGGGGCGTCGCGATGGAGGACATCGCCTTGACCACAACTGATGCAAAGGCGACTACTCCATACTCCTCGAGAACCTTAATAAAAATAATGTTCTCAATATCCTCTTGGGTTTTATATGAACAAAAATTAAAAATATTTTTAACGGGATATCGTACTACAATGGGCTTGGAGTTCAAGGTTCTTGTTGCGGGCATAGCGTCGAGTAGACGTCGCACATTGGAAGCAGGTGTACTGCAATACACTTAAGAGCTATCGGCTTGCACGACTCAGTTTCGGGCTTGGCCTCAGGGTTTCGCCCAACGTTGGACCTGAAACACCGAAATTGAGATGGAACGTCGTGGTGGCAGGGACATAGTCGCTCCCCGCTCGAAAAAGCCAAAAAAGTGCACGGCAACTCCCCCCAACCCCAAAGAAAAAACTGCCCAGATCCCACATCACCTTTCGTAAACCCTCTAGGCCTAACCCCTAAACCCTACACCCTACACCCTGAACCCTAAACCCCTAAACCCCTAAACCCTACTTCCAAGCCTAAACCCCAAAACCCCAAGGAACAAAGCCAAGACCAGGTGACCTGCATCTGCGATGGCCACCCGCGTCAGGCCGAACCTGGTGTGAACACGAATATGTCTAGGATTTAGGGTGGTCTAGGGTGGTCTAGGGTGGTTTAGGCTGGTTTAGGCTGGTTTCGGGTGGTTTCGGGTGGTTTAGGGTGGTTTGGGGTGGTTTGGGGTGGTTTAGGGTAATTTAGGATGTTTCGGGGGCTCGTGCGGTGGGGGATTGTGACCAGGGGGGGCTGAGTGGCTTCGGGAGTCGGTTTAGTTTTATTTTTTTTTTTCGGGCTCTGTTTTGTAGTGTTTGGGCTTTGGGGGATCGCGGAGGGCAAGGCTCAACAACCGCTGCAGCAAGGTTGCCCCAGCAGTAATGCAGGTAGGGGTATTGGAAGTAGCACTGGTAGAAGAATCATCGAGATAGTAGCAGCAGCTGACCACGGAACCTCCACGTGTGCCTGATACATACCCAGGAAGCTCCATTCCTAAAAGACCCGTAAACCCTATATTCCCACCCGGCCTGCTTAGACCGCCTGGACCCAGAACTACACCCGTATCCAATGGGCGGTGCCATTGGAGAGCGGTCACATTCCGCCCCTTGGGCTGAGCCTTGCCTTAGGACCACAAAAGTGGTGCCTTTTCTTCATGGAGAAGAGGGGAAACCCCACGTTCTTCACCTCGCGCCCCGTTGCCTCCCCTCTCCCCGCCG